ACAGGCAGTTGTGAGACACGGGTTCTGTGAAGTGAGCTAGGGCTCTCTGGAAGAGTTCATGATCTTAACTGCTGAGCCATTCCTTATTATTTATTTAAACTGAGATTAAAAGCCTGGACCACTATACCTAGCCTATTTATCTTTAAATTAAAAAAATTTCTGTCGGGGACTGGAGAGATGGCTCAGCGTTTAAGAGCACTGACTACTCTTGCATAGGACCCAGGTTCGATTCCCAGCACCCACATGGCGGCTATAAACCATCCTTAACTTCAGTTCCAGTGGAATCCGAAACCCTCTTCTGACGTCCGTGGCATTGCATGACATGGGTGCACTTACATGTAGGCAATACACTCATATACATAAAATAGAAATAAAATATTTTAAAAGTTTTAAAAAAAATCTTCTCTCTCTCTCTCTCTCTCTCTCTCTCTCTCTCTCTCTCTCTCTCCATCCAAGGCTCAAGAACATCTCAGAAGAGAGAGCAGAAAGATTGAGAGCTGGAGGGTGGGGAGGGGAGCTGTGAACTGCTGGCTGCTGGACATTACATGGCTGTTACCCATACCACCCATACCAACTCACAGTACCTGCGGGATATCTGCACAAGATCCAGTCAAACTTCCAGCATAGCTGAGGGGCTCCTGAGGCCCCACCTCTGGTGGAAGAATTGTTGGCAGTTGATGGCTCCTGAGGGATAGTCACTCTCCTTGGGGACATGGCTGCTGGTAGGCTGCTCACACTCTTGTGGATGGCTTCACACCCATGTGCATATGGGTGGCACTAATTGGATTTGGTGTTATTAATAATAACAACAAAAAAAGAGAACATGACTTTGGGAGGGAGATGAAGTGAACGGCACTAGGGGGAGTTGGAGAGAGCTAGTGGTGGATGGATATGAGCAAAATACATGCTACAAATGTATGAGATTTTCAAAGAAAAATATTTAAAAAATAAAAAAATACAAGCTGGGCATGGTGGCGCATGCCTTTAATCCCAGCACTTGGGAGGCAGAGGCAGGCAGAACTCTGAGATCGAGGCCAGCCTGGTCTACGTAGCAGTTCCAGGCCAGCTGAGGCTACAAGGAGACCCTGTCTCAAATAAACAAACAAAAATAAGAATAAGAATAGATGTGGAGGGGGAGGGAACAAATGAGATGTGTAGGGGCATGGTATGAAGATGCCATCATAAAACTAATTAGCTGTATGCTGATTAAAAAATTAATAAAAAGTATGGACATTCCTCATATTACCATAAAAAAGGCATAAAAACAGGAGAGAGACTTGCTGGGAAGAAGAGGTTCAGAAGGAGTGGGAAGGGGGAAGAGAGCGTGATGAGGCATGAATATGATTAAAATGCATTATACATGTATATGAAATTGTCAAATAAAAACATTTTAAAATCAGCCAGGTGGGCATTAATCCCAGCACTTTGGGAGGTAGAGGCAGGCAGATCTCTGTGAGTTCAAGGCCAGCCTGGTCTCCGTAGTGAATCCAGGCCAGCTGTGACTACAGGGAGACCCTGTCTCAAAAAGACCAAAAAAACACAAAAACAAAAATAAGAACATTTAAAAATCATAAACAGTTGGGCGTGGTGGCGCACGCCTTTAATCCTAGCACTCGGGAGGCAGAGGCAGGCTGATCTCTGTGAGTTCAAGGCCAGCCTGGTCTACATAGTGAGTTCTGGGACAGCTGGGGCTACAGAGAGACCCTGTCTCAAAAAGACCAAAAAAAAAAATCATAAACAGCTGATTACATGCCTACCTGAATGGCTAGAATAAAAATATGAGCAGTATTAAATATTGGCACACATAGAGAAACTCTATAGTTTTCATACAATTCTGGAGACTGTAGGATGGCCACTCTGTAAGTTTTCAAAGAAAATCAATCACACACACCATTATTGTATGACCAGTAGCCCACTCTGTGGTATATACCCAAAGAAATAAACAAAAACCCACATTCACCTAGTAACTGATACACAAATGTTTATAGGTTTAACTTTATTTATAATCACCTAAAACTGACAAGAACTCAAATATTCTTCAATGGGTAAATATAAAACAAGCTGTGATTAGACCATACAAAATACCATAAAACAAAGACTTGAGGCTGAGTGAAAGGCCACCTTGGGCCAGGTGTGGCGGCACACACCTTTGATCCCAGTACTCCAGAAGCAAGTGGATTTCTGTGAGTTCAAGGCCATCCTTGTCTACAAAGGGAATACTAGCCCAACTAGGGGGCGAAAAAAAAAAAGGAGGTAGTCTCCAGGTTCTATTCTGAATGTGGTACTCGGGAAAAGGCAAACCCATAGGGATAGACAACACACAAGTGTTTAGCTGAGGCTGGAGTTGGGATCTGACTACAAAAAGCACAGCAGGACCTTTTAGGTGACAGATCTGCTCTGTGTCCTAATCTGACAGTGAATATATACAAGTGTTATCAAAGAACACGCCTTTAATCCCAGCACTTGGGAGGCAGAGGCATGTAGATCTCTGTGAGATCAATGCCAACACTGTCTACATGGTGAGCTCCAGGCCAGTGTGGGGCTACAGGGAGACCCATCTCAAAAATAAAAATAAAAATAACAACAAAACCCCTCAAAGAACTGGACTGGAGATGTAGCTCAGCGGTAGAGTGCTTGCCTAGCATGTATGAGGGCTTAGATTTGACCCCTAGTTGAGGGGTGGGATAACTTAAAGAACTGTGATTCCAGAAAGTTAATTTTATATGTTAATCTATAGTTTTTGTTTTTGCTTTTCTTTTTTGGTCTTCTTGAGACAGGGTCTCCCTGTAGCCCCAGCTGGCCTGGAACTTGCTATGTAGACCAGGCTGACCTTGATCTCAGAGAGATCTGCCTGCCTCTGCCTCTTGAGTGCTGGGATTAAAGGTGTGTGCCACCATGCTCAGCAACCAAAAGATCCAAATAAAGTTCTTCTAAAAAATGTCTTAAAAGAATTTTTCGGGCAGCAGAGACAGTTAAGAGCACTGGCTGTTCTTGCAAAGGACCTGGTTTCGATTCCCAGCACCTGTATGGCTAACAAGCCAGCGCCCTCTTCTGACCTCCAGAGGCATTGCATAACACAGGTGCACTTACATGCAAGTAACACACACACACACACACACACACACATGCACACACACACTCACACTACATACACACAAATAATAATAAACAAAATATACATAAAAAAGAAATTTTCTATCTGGGTTTCCACTAGGCAAGTTGCATTGTGGGGGCTCTGCCACACCCAGGCTGCTGTACCCATGAGCCTGTTCTTTTTATTTATTTTTTATGTGTATGTGTGTATTACCTGCAAGTAGGTAAGTGCACCCATGCCGTGAAATGCTGGTGGCAGTCAGAAGAGGCTGTCGGATCCCCTGGGACTGGAGTTACAGACAGTTGTTAGCTGCCATGTGGGTGCTGGAATTCAAACCCGGGTCTTCTGCAAGAACAATCAATGTTCTTAACCGCTGAGCCATCTCTCCAGCCCGCTGTTCTTCTTTCTGTAGGATGAGATTAGTCTAGAACAGTGATTCTCTTCCTTCTCTCCTGACTTCCTTATACCAAACCCCTGGGCACCACCTTTGTGAAAGTAGGTATGGGCAGTTTTGCAGGGTCTGTGGTATCTACTGGTTCTGGAGGCACAGCTCTGCATCAAGCCATCAAGCAGGGCAGTTTGGCTTTTGTTTGCCTCATAAACTGCCCCAAAGGGTCTAGATTAGAACAGCACATTTTGGCTGGGCATGGTAGCACACACCTATAATCCCAGCACTCTGAAGGTAGGAGGATCTGGACGTCAAGGTCATCCTTGACTACATAGCCTTGGCTACATGAACATACAAAGCCTGTTTTGAGGCAGAGCCTGGCAACAAGAGGTTCTGAGTAACCCTGAATTTCAGGGCCTACTGAAGCCAACTCACTTGTCCTTCTGACATATGTACCCATGTATCCTGACAATCAGTCAGACAGGGACACTGGATCTCATGGTCAGTGATTCGAACAAGGCCTTTTGGGGAAAGCTGGACCCGTGTACTTGTATCAGGATCCCTATGTTGCCTCTGGATTAAACATGGTGGGAACTCTGGAAAGGCTTCTAAGACTAGGCCTCTTCTGAGGAAGGATTTAAGTCTTTTTTTCTCCCCCCACCAGAGTGACTTCTGAGAACAGTTTATAAACAATAAAGGGCTGCATTCAGATAGAATTGTCTTTATGGTGATGATTGCAAAATCCATGACCACTTCAACCTTTACCACTCACTGTTTTCTGTGTAAGTGTGATCTAGAAAACCAGAGTTGGGCCAGTATGGTGAAGGTGGAAGCAGGGGGGATCCCTGGAGCACTGCTTGAAGGTCACTTGCCTAATAGGTTGGCACTTACTGTGAGAAACTTGAAAACGCCAGGATGTGGTGGGCATGGTGGCGCACACCTTTAGTCCCAGCACTTGGTAGGCAGAGGCAGGCATATTTCTGTGAGTTCAAGGCCAGCCTGATCTACACAGTGAGTAGTGAGTTCCAGGCCGGCCGGGGCTACAGAGAGACCCTGTCTCAAAAAAAATGAAAAGAATAGAAAAGAAACACCAGGATGCTTAAGGCTCTGTGTTTGAAGGAATGAGGTGGGATTGTGGCAGATTTATCTCTAGGTTGGTCACCTAGGGGAGGGCTACAGGATTCCAAGCCTGCCATATGCATTGGGCACTGTTCTCTTTGGCCTGGAAACCACCTGCCTCCCCTACCCTCTAGACAGCAGCCCATGGCTTGCCACTTACCTCCATCATGTTACAGTTAGTAACTTTAGGGGCTGGAGAGATGGCTCAGCAGTTAAGAGCACTGACTGCTCTTGCAGAGGACCCGGGTTCAATTCCCAGCACCCACATGGTGGCTACGAACTTAACTCCGGTTCCAGGGGAATCTAAAGCCCTCTTCTGACCTCCACAGCATTGCATGACATGAATGCACTCACATACATTCAGGCAATACACTCATACACATAAAATAAAAATAATAAAATATTTAAAAAAAACAATTAGTGACTTTAATCTCTAAAGATACAGATTACAAAGTAGTGACTTTTTGGTTTGGTTTTTTTGAGACAGTCTCTCTATGTAGCCCAGGCTGGTCTCAAATTCACCCTGTGATCCTTCTGCTTTAGTCTTCTGAGATTACAGGCATGTACCACCAAACTTGGCTGGATTACAGGGTTAAAAATTATAGCAATCCTCTTTTCTTGCCCTTATAAAAAGCATCATCTGGTATGCTCCTGTATCAACACAAGAAGAATGTTCATGTTTAGATCTTGGCATAAGGTTAATGACATCTGTATAGCTGACCCCAACACAGGAGCTGGTGAGGTGGCTTACAGAGGAACCATCAAACGGACTTCCTTCTCATAGATGTCAGGGATCAGTCCCATGGGGGAGTTCACCATGTGCACTGTATTCTTTCCAAACAGCTGGAACTCGTAGTGGATGAGCTGCTCCCAAAAGCCACTGTTAGGCCGGATGATAGGCCGGCATGACTTGGTCCATGTGTGAGCATCTAGCAGGGACATGGCATGGTACTTCATGAGGTAGGCGAGGCAGAGGGCAGCTGAGCGGCTCATGCCAGCAGCACAGTGCAGCAGCGTGCGGCCCTGCTTCATCTCCACCAAATGAATCTGGTCAGCAATAGGGTCAAAGAAGTCACAGAGACGTGAGACAGGTGCATCAGTCACAGGCACCTGCATGTACTGGATATCCTCATAGAAGGTGTTTACCACCTCAACCGATACATTAATGACCGTGGTGATCTGGTTGCTGGACAGCAGGAGTTTGTTGTTGGCCGCCACACCACTGCTGATAAACAGGCTTTTGGTGATCTGTGAGAGGCCGCTGATTGAAGGCTGCCGGAACTGAGCTGGGAAGGCACCCCGAGGTGCTGTCATCAAGGTGACAGGTCAGCAGTTGGTGATGTGTAAAGCTTGCATCTTTCTGCTAGACTGTACCCACTGAACACTGCAGGGAGAGAAAAGATGTTTAATTTTCTGGGTTTTTTTGGAGACAGGATCTCCCTATAGCCCCAGCTGGCCTAGAACTCTGCCTTGTAGACCAGGCTGGCCTAGATGTCACAGATCCACCTGCTTCTACCTCTTGAGTGCTAGGATTAAAGGCATGTGTCACCACACCCAGTAAGAGGATGTTTAGAGGGTAAGAACACAGATTCTGGGAAATGGATGGCTAAGCCTATGGAATTAGCCAAGGCGATCCTCTGACCAACACTGTAGAAGCACTCAGAGAACTCATGAATTATTCAGATACCCAGGCTCCACTCCATATGCACCAAGTCAGATTTTCAGGTGAGGAACACAAATCTGCATTTTAGCATGCTTCTCAAGTGGTCTAACATGCACTGTCCTACAGGGCAAAGGCCAAGTCCCTGGGCCTGGCCCCTTGAGTCCCCCTGCCCTCCACCCCGCCTCCCCATTTAGTCTGGTAAATCAACTTGCATTTCTCAACTGTGCCCTGGCCTAACTTTCCACTTAGGCTCACATAGCTCTCTTATCTCAAAATTCTCTCCTTCCTTCTGGCTGATCTAAGGTGAAATACTTGCAAGGTCTCCCTCCACAGCCTCTGACTGATGCTCAAATCCACTATTGGGCGGGGGGGTTCCCTGGAATGCGGGAAAATATGTAAGGAGAGATGAGCCTCCTTCATTCCCAAGAACTAGCTCTCTGAATAGAGAGATATCATTAGACATCCTCCTGGACTTTCCTCTAAGGAGGGTCTGGGGAAGACAATGGCTGACAGTTTCCTGGACACTGACAGGATGGACACCATAGTAACTCCAAGTGTGAGTACATAGGCAGCAGGGCCTCAGATAGACTTACCACACCAGCACCACGCTGCCTGCAGCAGAAATGTGGCACTCTCCCAGAGAGAGCAGAACTCCTGTCTTCTAAGAAAGCTCAAACCCTTGCTTTCCTAGTCTTTTCACATTTATTTTTGAGGCTGGGTGTGGTGGTGCACGCCTTTAATCCCAGCACTCAGGAGACAGAGGCAGGTGGATCTCTGTGAGTTCAAGGCCAGCCTGGTCTACATAGTGAGTTCCAGGACAGCTGGGGCTACAGGGAGACTCTGTCTCAAAAAGATAAAAAAAAAACAAAAACCATTGAGTTCATATGTTATGTATATGCACATGCATGTACACATGTCACAGTGTTCATGTGGAGGTCAGAGGACAACTTGCAGTAGGTTCTCTCCTTCCACACTGTGGGTCCTGGGTATCAAACTCAAGTCATCAGGCTTGGCAGCAGGTACCTTTACATATTGAGCTATCTCACTGACCCCAACTTTCCTAGTCTTGAGCAAAGATGCAAAAACTGAACTTCAGCTGGTCATGGTGGCACATACCTTTAATCCAAGCACCCAGGAGGCAGAGGCAGGTGGATCTTTGTGAGATCAAGGCCAATCTGGTCTACATGAAGACTCTATCTCAAAAAACAAAACAAAGCCAGGCATGGTGGTGCACGCCTTTAATCCCAGCACTCGGAGGCAGAGGCAGGCGGATCCTCTGTGAGTCCGAGGCCAGCCTGATTTACAGAGTGAGTTTCAGGCAGCTGGAGCTACAAGAAGACCCTGTCTCAAAAAGACAAAAAACAAAACAAAACAAAAAAACCCCAAAACAAAATAAAACAAAATACTATACTTTGGGTATATATCTAATCTCAGCACTTGGGAGTTGGAGGTAGGAAGATCTTGACTTCAGGATCGGTGAATTGAAACAAAAACCAAAAATACATAAACTTAAAAAAAAAGATCACACTTTCCTAGTCTCATTGAAACAGGGCCTTTTGGGTTCAGATCACACATCTTAGGATCAAATGGTGGTCTCCATCAGGCACAGACAAATGAGAAGTCAAATTTTTGCTGCTTACAGTCAGGATAAGACAGAGCCCTTGCTTGGCTCTGCCATTTGTGGCTGGGTTGCTACTCATCTCTCCAGCTTCCTACTAGCTTTCCCTGGCCTGAAGAGCCTTGGCTATATGAAACTAATATGACAATTCCTTTGGCCACCTGTCCTTTCCCTCAGGGACCTTTGTCTCTGCTGCTCTCTCTGCCCAGAACATCCTCTCCTTATAAGCCTATCAGATCCTGATCTGCTCTATTCAGCAGAGGACTGAAGAAGTCTGAGGAGCCCAGAGACCTAAGCTGGAGGGTCACTTCCTCAAGGGGACTCTCTTGGCAGCACAGCCCTCCCCCACACTTGATCAAGGCTCTGCTCCAAGTTTCTTAGGCCCATATTTTCTCCTTCCTAACACTGGCTCAAGACTGATAATCTGTCTCTTTTGGAGACCTGAGAACTTCAGGAACATGATGGGTCTATCTTTAGTCATTGCATCACCCCACCAGTGCCATGCAGTATGTCCCCACATGCAAGTGCTCTATGACTATCTACTGTGTGGATGACCCCAACACGACTCCATCTTTTAACTGTGAGCTTGTCTAGAAGAGTTCTTGAGAAATCCGGGTTTCTCAAGAGTTTCAGAGACGGGCTGGGGGAAAGGTATCATCCTAGGCTGCTTGAAAGGAAGGCCAAAGGCTACATAGGCCAGGTCTGCCTGCCAAGGCCCCAAGGTCAAGTACATCATGCTCAATGCAGGAAGAGAAGATGGGCCTGGTTTATTGTAAAGGTCCTAAGGGGAACAAGAAAAATCACACAAAAGCCCACAGTCAGAGGTGTTCTCTACAGCAAAGTAGTGAGAAACTAGTGGTGTATTTGCCCAGTTATGTGATTTCCAAAATTAATGATCTTTAAATCAACTAAGAGCAAGTGAAAAACTGGACATGGTGGTACACACCTGTGATATTGGCACTCAGGAAGCTGAGGCAGAAAGAAGATGGAGAGTTTAATGCCAGCCTAGGCCACATAGAAAGTTCAAGGACAGCCTGGACCACAGAGACCATGTCTCAATTACTCTCCTCCAACCCCCAGAGCAAGTGAAACAAACTACAGGGTTTATTTAGGTTTTTCCTTGGAAACAAAACAAAGCTGTTTACTTAACCTTTGAGAAATCAGGATTATAAAAATAATTTCTGCAACAGGCCATTTTCAACTAGCATAGTGACATTTCCTGTCTTAATCCTTTTATAATAAAAGGTAATCTAAAGTAACCCTATGCTAACCAGTTATTATTGTACTGTTCTCTCTCCTTATCCCTGCCTTGCAAGGACTGTAGCTTTGAAGCACCAATGTTTTTGTTTCTGCTTTCTTCTTTCCTTTTCTGTCCACAAAGCCACAAACCTCTGCTTGGCTCACTGGAACAGTTCTCTTTTACAAAACGAAGTGTTGTGCAATTTTAGAATCGAAAATAAAGCCAAGTAAGGTCTTTAAAAACTGTTGTACAATAGGAGTGACAGTGTCCGCCTTACAGAGATGTAAAGATAAAATGAGATCATTCAGGTAGCTGTTAGGAAAGCTAAAATGCAAAGCATTGTGGGAATGAAGACTCAAGAGATTAGTTTCAGGCTGTGGGTTATAGAGTTGCAAAGATGGCCTTAAGCAGTGACAGAGAAGAGGGCCTAGTAGAGTAGGCCTGGAAGCAAAGGCAAGCCAATGGGGAACTCCAGGCTAGCCTGGGCTACTAGGTGAGGCTCTATCTCAAAAACAAATAAATAAAAACAATTCATAACAACAAACAAAACCCCACCACTCCCACTTACCACAAGAAGTTTGGCTTGGGTGGGGGGTGGGGGTGGAGAACTGGACACTTGGTGGCGGCTGTTCAGGCACTTTGCAGCCAGCGAAACAGCCACTTTTGCTTCCCTCCTGAACCTAAAAAGAGCTGCGTCTAGTTAATAACTCCAGGTGGAAAGTGAGGCTCAGAAGGGAAATGGGTTTGTTCAAAGGGTCACAGCAAGTTGTCAGAGTTGGTATTTCTGGTACAGTCTATGTGGGAAAAGTCGGCAAATACCGGTGGGGCGTTTGTTAAATTCTGGGTTATAAACGTGGATCAAAGTCCTTGGGAGGGAGGTGCCACATCTAGGGGTGAGCCTGGTGAGTTTCCTGGGGAGTTGGCTGGAATAGCTCCTCAGCTCGCGACATACCTCGGGTGGGGCTCTTTCAGGAAGCGCCTGCCAAGCGGAGCTGCAAGCGAGGGTCCTCAGGAGAGAGCCATCGTGATCCGGTCCGGCACGCCGGCTCGCCCAGTGCTCGGGTTTCGACGGTAAGGCGTTCTCCTGGCGCGGAATGGCAACTCTGGGCCTCGGAGAGGTCTTGGCCCGATCTGCGCTCCACGCAGCCCCGTGGGACTCGCAGTCACCAGCTGGGGGACCACCGGGGGGCGCAGCCAACTTAGTGGACTAGGAAGGGCCCCGCAGCTCCACCGGTCTCCATGGCAACGCGCGTCATAAGGACAGGCGTGTGGCGTCCGCAGCCTCCAGGCCCCGAGACACGCCCCGCCCACCGGCCACTCACGATTCTCACGCGCGAGACACCGCGCGGAACTCCGCCTTGGGCATCAGCTCCTGGAGTCACTCCGCATCCGCGGGCGCCCTGCCACCATGGTTTTTAATTTGGCTACCGTTCCCGAGTCCTTGTCCCGCCTGATAATCACCCCCAAACAACTCAGGAGGCCCTCGGTCAGGCGGGACCTGGGCTCTGAGTTAGAGGCTGTTGCCAAGGCGACCGCCCTCGCGAGCTTGGACTTCCGGCGCGATCGGTTAGACAGCGGGCCAGACCTCGGCTTCCGGTGCTACCCCCCGCAGATTTGCTTCCTCCGGCCCCTGCGGCCTGCGACCCCGCAGACGCGGTTCAGGTGTAGCTTGGTCCGCAGGGCGGGCGCCGAGGGAGCCCCCGACCCACGCCCGGGATCCCAGTAGTGCCACGACCTCTCAGAGCGGTTCTTTCCAGTCTGTTCCCCTTTCCAGCCACATCAGTCCTGGCTTTCCGGACTGCAGGCCCCGGCACACTTTAGGGTGACAACCTGGTCTTCTAGGGCGTGAAATTACCTGACACCCCTGTCTGCAACTTTTCAATTCCCCCAGGGCCCAGGAAAGTCTCTAGTTTCCTTGGCCTGGCGCCAAGCCCAGGAGCCCCAGTTCTACCCCCTTCCCCCTCCTCAATCCCTGTCCCAGCATCCGCCTGGCTCCTACAGAGGACTTGGGATGGAACAGCAATTTGTTTCAAAATGACCGTTATTTATTACTTGAAAGGGGATATTTCCAATCATTCTCCTTATTAATTTCCAATATTGATAAATCTGGTGCACCAGTAACTTATAGGAAGAATGTCTTTAAATATTTTAGGCCTTTTTCTTTAATTTTTTTAAAAAATTTTATGTGCTATGCCTGCATATATGTAAATGAACCCTGTTGTGCAGTGTCGGCAGAGGACAGAAGAGGGCATCCGATCCCTTGGAGCTGGAGTTACAGAGGTTTGTTAGCCATGTGGATGCTGGGAATCGAACCTGGCCCTTTGCAAGAGCAGCCAGTGCTCTTAACTGCTGAACCATCTCTCTAGCCCCAGGTGCAGATTCTTGAGTATGAACTTTGTAGATGATAATGTCATCTTGCAGTGTCAAATGGTGGAGCAAACTTCTAGCCCTGTACACCCTAAACTTCCCTCACTTGTTCCTCGAATTCCCCTATTAACTAACCCAATGTTCTTCTAAACTCCTTTGTTCCCTTCCTCCTTCCATGCTTTCCTCTTCTTTTTTATTTTGAGGCAGTCTCTTACATAGCTTAGACTGGCCCAGAACTCACCATGGAGCCCAGGTTGACCTTGAACTCTCCATCTTTCTCCTTCAGCTTCCCAGTGCTGAGATTACAGGTGTGCACCACCACAACAGGCTGCCCATTTACTTTTCCTGTTCGTTTCTACCTCCACTCCACAAATCCCCTTAGTTCTAGGCTGTGAAGGAAGAACTCCCTATCCCAGCCTCCCTCACATTCATCCCTTTTACATTGCCCTTCAACTTTTACTCATCTAAGACTTCCACTTTTGGTCTTATTCTGAGTTTTCTCATAAGGATGACCTACACTCCTAACATTCAGAGCATAGCTCAGCAGCAGGGTCTTTGATTAGCACATGCTACCCTGGGTTCTAACGCCAGCACCCCCCCCACCAAAATTCTTGTTTTTCTTTGTTCCTGTTGACACATACCTTGTGGACTGCTCTGGGCCCTTCTATACCCTTCTCAGGATGACTTTTCTTCCTTTGGTCCAATAACATTTTTAGTGTGCAAACTTATGGTAATTTCCTTGCTCCCCTAAAAATTATGAGAAAACTGCTTGTCTTTGAGAGCAAGGGACAGAAAGATTGTGTGAGCCAGAGGCTGTAGATGACTATAATAAAACTGTTTTCTGAACACAACAGGACAGTTGCCCATATGAACTGATAATGGCCATGACTGCACAAGACCTACATAAGATCAAGCCAAACAAAATCCCAGCATGGAGTGGAGAGGAGCTCAGGAAGTCCCACCCTGAGCTGAGGATCGATTGGAAACTGATGGTTGCTGGGAGAAAGGGGGGAGAGAGTCAGTTTTCTTCAGGGATTCAGCCCCTGAGAGGCTACCTGTGCACATACTGACAGTGCTGAGTGGGCTCAGTGGGTTAAAACACACAAAATTGGGAGGGAATAGTTGTAGGGGGCATGGGGGATGAATTGGAGGAGAGGAAATGGGGGGTGTCACTTGATCAAAATATATGCATGTTTGAGATTCCCAATCAAGAAAAAAATCAAAACAAAAACCTAGGGCTGGAGAGATGGCTCAATGGTTAAAAACACTTGCTGCACTTGCAGAGGACTCAGGTTCGACTCTCAGCACCCACATGGTGACTAACAACTGTCTGTAACTCCAGTCCCAGGGGATCCGATGCCCTCTTCTGACTTCTGCAGGCATTGCACGGCATGGGTGCACTTACATACATACAGGCAATACACTCATACACATAAAATAAGATAAAAAAAATAGCTGGGTGCTCTCTCCTAGCCTGCACTACTATCCTCAGGCCTCTTGGGGTAAGTCTATAGCGCAGCTCTCCACACCGGGACTCCCTAAGCCACATTCACCCTTCCATATCCATCCCCCCCCCCCCCTGCTCTTAACTCCTGGTTTTA